GCTACTCCCCATACAAGAACACTATATAAAAGGTGTAAATGTGTGCAGGTTCAACAGGCAGACAGATGACACCCAGCTTCCTGGAAAGTTTCCTCCATGCAGTGTGAGATAATGTGAGATGGTGAATGTGAGATGGTGTGAGACGGTGATAGTGAGATGGTGTGAGATAATGGATCCTACACCGCATGTAGTGCACTAGATGTCATTTGAGATTCCGTTTCCTACATTAATGCACAGGTTCAACAGGGAACCAGGCGATTTCCGGCGTCCTACTCCACCTGGAAGAAGTTTACTGAGTGGGGCATGTGAATGAAAGCACCCCTACACCATATTTAACCCATGTGGCCCAATCCATTTCATGATCAACTTTAACCCGTTTATCAACTCGAACAGGAAAACAACGTTGTGCCCAAAGAGCGCTCCATAACTCAAAAGGAATGTTAATGAGATGTGGTTTTACGTGAAATTCCCCGTATGGGGTTACAAAAAAAAAAAACACCCCCACCCCCCAAAAAAATCTACACAAAACAACAACAAAAAAATCACCGCAAACGCGCGTGACAGGTTTTTAGGGGTGTTATGTTGATGGTGGACATTAAACAGCCAGGCTTTACCTCAGTTGAACAGCGCGGGTCTCTCCACACCCCTCACAGCCTCCACCGGATTTCCGTTACAATTGAAATCCTTAACGGTTATTTTTCTGTTTCGGGTTCAAAAATCCTCGCGCGACAGGTTGCAGCGGGAGAGAAAACGTGAAGCACGCGAGTCCTCTGATGTGTTACAGTCTCCGCAGGATCAGTCAGACTGAAGAGACCGCGAGCAAAGGGGCGGGGCCGTGAGGGAAGGGGTATGGCTAACTAATCCGCAGGAGGAACATGTTGCCAGATTGGAGCTGATATTTTTTAATTCATTATATATATATATATATATATATATATATATATATATATATATATATATATATATATATATATATATATATATATATATATATATATATATATATATATATATATATATATATATATATATATATATATATATATATATATATATATATATATATATATATATATATATATATATATATATATATATATATATATATATATATATATATATATATATATATACATATGTATGTATATATATATATATCTCAGTTTTGTCACACACACACACACACACACACACACTTGTGTGGGCTTGGTGAATGTATATATGCTCAGCAAAAAGAGTCCCTTTTTCTGGAGACTGTATTTTAAATATCTTTATTGGAAAGGGTTTAAACGATGTTTTTCATGCTTGTTATAAAATTATCCAAATTTAATCAAAATGATATTATTATCAAAAAACAATTATTGCACATGTAGAACAGTCCTTAAGATTAAGGTCACAGTTGCAATAACTTAAGACACTAAAGAGACCTTCCTACTGACTCTGAAAAACACCAAAAGAAAGTGCAGAGGGTTCCTGCTCACCTGCGTGAACATGTCATAGGACTGCAGATATTTCCAGAGCAACAAACTGCAATGTCTGTAATGTAAGATGCCTAAGAATGTGCTACTGGGAGACAGGAATTACAGCTGATCGTCCTTGCAGTGGAAAATTACATGTAATCGTGTGTCTCCACAGACGTGATCGAGAACTTGCAGCAGATGCCTTGGTGGAAGAGTGAAGTAACATCTCACAGCAAGAACTGACCAATCTGGTGCAGTCCATGAGGATGAGATACACTGTAGTATTTAAAACAGCTGGTGACCACCAGATACTGACTGTTACTTTTAATGTTGACACCCCCCCCCTTTTTTTCCAGGGATTCATTACTCCATTTCTGTTCGTCAAACGTCTGTGAAACTTGTTCAGTTTATGTCTCAGTTGTTGAACATTTTTATGTTAATACATATATTTACTCATGTTATGAAATTTGCTGGAAATAAAAGCAGTTCAATGTGAGAGGATGTTTCTTTTTTTGCTGAGTATATATCACACACACATACTTATCAAGCATATCTGAGTGTGCACCATTTGTAAAATTTTGGTATAGAATCATGACTTTTTTCTCGATATATTGTTACTTGCCTGTGATAGTTACTAACAGATTTATTTAGTAGCCTAATTTAAAAATCAGTGACTCTGATGAATGAATCAACACGGTAAATCCATCAAGCAGGACTGCACATTCATGTTAATGCTCTTGTTAATGTTCATGTCAGTTACATCTCTAGTATATATATTATACAATGAAAGTGTACAGTACAGTAGTATAATAATGTGTAGTATCGAACAAGTTATTGTATAATACAGTAGCTATAGTGTAATACAGTAACGTATGAGAGGTCCAGATATTATTCTTGGTATAGTAGGTGGCACAGTAGCATACTGGGTAGCAGCTCACAGCTCCAGGGTTCTGTGTGTCAACCCTGAGCTTAGCATGCTGTGAGCTCAGGTCTGTGAGTTTCACATGTTCTCCCCATGTTTGCGTAAGTTTCTTCCAGGTTTTATAGTTTCCTCTTACTGTCCAAAAACATATAGGTAGGTGGACTGGTTATGATAAATACATTGTCCCTAGGTGTGAATGTGTGAGCATGGTGGCCTGCATCCTGGATGAGATTACCATAACATCTTGCTCTCAGTGTAACCATTACTAAGAAAACCATTCTGAGGTATTGGGGGAAAAATCAACTACTATCTGCCTCAATATAAACAAAACTGCTGAAGTTGATTCCATCTGGAAACAACTCGTCACTGACATATATCAGGATGACCGACAACAGCAAGACAGAACGAGTATCTAAATTATACAAGCACCCACATGCACACACACAAACAAAACGATGGTGTTTTGGTTTGGTATTCTTATTACTATTAATATTTCCACTACTTTATTATCTGTATTTGTATTTGTAATCATTATATTTCATTTTTATAAAAACACATTTTTAAATGTTTTTGTTTTTTCATCCTGCCTTTTGATCTGTCACATTTCGTTTCTTAGCGTTTGTTTTCATGTTTGTACAACTCGGTATGCTCCCACTTTATGGGATTTTATTTTGTGAAACATCTCACAAACTAAAGAAAAAAAGTCAACATGTCAGGACATAGATATTGTGTATCTCACCACTTTATTATTGTGTATGTTTTTATATCTTGGTGGGGACCAAATATCTCACAGTTTTGACCTTGTGGGGACATTTAGCTTTCATTAAAAAACAAAACAAAATGTGTTTTGTTTTTTACAGCCTACATGCATTGTAGGCTGATTGGCATTCCCAAATTGTCCTTAGTGTGGGAATGAGTATGTGAGTGTGTGCAGGATTGTCCATTCGATGGGTTGGCATCCTGTCCTGATGTCCCCTGGGATAGGTTCCAGGCTCCCCGAGACACTTTGTAGGATGAGCGGTACAGAAAATGTTTGGATGGATGGAAGGTCCTCACACTGGTGGTCTGGCCTAAGTGTGAATGTCCTGTGTGGGACTGGTGTATCTCGCCTTGTGCCCATTGTTGCTGGGATAATCCTCAGAATCCTAAAGTAAGACAAGTGTGTGTGTATGTGTGAGATTTTGACATGTGTTTGACGATGCATATTTGTTGATGTCTGTTTACTCAGAATCTTTAACAGAACCATGTTTAATAGAAAAACATGTCCAGATATTCGTAGCAATCATTGGTACGGAAAGTACCAGGAGGTTCTGCAAAAGCGGGCATGAAAAAGGAAAATAAAGAACATGCTTCAGCATGTCAGATTCCACGGATAAATACTTCAGGAGACACAGAGACGTGGGAAAGTCAGTGAGAAAGCATGCACTGCTCCTCCTCCTCATTTCACTCTGTGTTTTTGACTGGGCATGCCCCTTCAATCAGAAAAAAAGGCACATAACATACTGACTGACATGCCAAGTTTTAGTATATTTGGATGGCTGATGCTTGGATCCAAAACATTTCTAATCAGTTCTGGAAAATGTACTACTTGAAATGTTTTGTAGCAATTTTTAGCATGAAACATTTCATGCTCAGGTCAATGTTTCATTAATGATTTATTACAGTGTGTTTTAAAGACCTAAAAATGATTACAATGTCTGAGAAAGAGCTCTAATTAATTAGCCTCACTGAAAATACTGGGATCTATTAAAATACATGAATATGCTCATTTGGAAACTCTACATATCACTTTGCCATTGCTGATTCCCTAATATTATAACATTAGCTAGCTTAGGAGTTTAGTGAACTGATAGTAAACTAGTTTACATTATTCAATGGAATTTCAGCATCAAAGTCTCAAGTCTCATTTCCACAATGATTTATTTAAATTCTAAATTGCTGTTGCAGTGATAATGTTGAGGTCGTTTAGAACTTTGTATGCTAAAGAGGAAAAATGTTAAATTTCCTAAATTAAAACTGCCCGGTTTCATTCCTTCTATTTCTTATTTCCATATTTACGTACAACGTATAACTGCAAAATGTACACGTTTATCCTGCTGGGACATGATATAAGACCTCACACAAATGAGGTTTCTTTGCTCACTCATTTTTTTTCCATGAGCTTAAAACCTGCTTTTTTCTCATCAGCACTTTCTTTGTTAGATGTTCTTTTGAGATGGCACTCTGACCTTTGACATTTGGAGTTAATAATTCAGTAAGTCTACCTTTCCTTTTCTTTGCTCTCAGAGTGAAAGATGAGTACAGAGTCACGTGTTTAGGGGAAAAAAGATAAAAGTAGGAACAAGTCAGGGATTCAGAAATGTTAAAGCTGATAGATAGATATATAGATATATAGAAAACTAGATAGATACATTGATAGATGTTAGGTGCTAATGTGTTTGGAACTTATGGGCCACTGTACTGAAGCACTTCCCTCAAGCTGATGCAGAACTGTTCTTAGGATGACTGAGGAAGTGGACGAGGGGAAGTAGATTTAGGTGAAGTGTTAGAATTGGGAACGTGAGACATGAATAGTGTCACAGTTGTAAATCAGTATTAAAAGTTTCTGCTCCAGTCCAGGGGGAGTAGTCCTTAGTGGTTAGCACATTTGATTCACACCTCAAGAGTTGGGGGTTTGAATCCAATCTCCGCCCTGTCTGCTCGGAGTTTGCATGTTCTCCCCGTGCTTCAGGGGTTTCCTCCAGGCACTCCGGTTTCCTCCCCCAGTCCAAAGACCTGATTGATTGGTAAGACTGGAAAGACTGATTGGCATTTCCAAATTGACCATAGTGTGTGAGTGTGAATGAGTGTGTGATTGTGCCCTGCGATGGGTTGGCACCTGGTCCATGGTGTCCCATGCCTTTCGTCTTAATTTCCCTGTGATACGCTCCAGACTCCCCCATGACTTTGTGTAGGATAAGCGGTATGGAAAATGGATGCTCCAGTCCATGTGTTTAAATGGTTAAAATGATGGTGAGGGTTGGAGTTAGTGCTCACAGCATTAATGACATCATTAAAGCCCTCATGCAATTTAAAGCCTACCAATAGCCCACCATTAAAGCCCATCAATAGCATAACGGCCAATAGTGGTTGAGGTTTACCACACCCATGCTGAATCTAAACAAACCTCACAGTAGCTTAGTGAACTAGGTAAATATGGAGAACAGTGAAGTGTTTCATGAGAGACATTTTCAATTGTGGAGGATTTCTCACTGCTATCTTCACCCATGCCTGTCTATTTTACCCAGGACGATATCATAGATGAGAAAATGTGTGTGATTTTCTAGTTACGCTGTATATTTGAGATGAGGTTGATCGTAAGCTGTGCTTATACTGACAGAGAGTTGCAGGGTCATCACTGGGAAGCATCTGACATATCAGAGTTGTAGACAATACACAGTGAAAAAAAAACATATTTACTGTTTAATGAGCTGGCTCTATAGAGCAAGACAGGCGGGGGAAACCCTGAACGGGGTGCCAACCCATCGCAGGGCACACTCACACACCCATTCACACACTACAGACAATTTGGAAATGCCTATCAGCCTACAACGCAAGTCTTTGGACTGGGGGAGGAAACCGGCGCACCCAGAGGAAACCCCCGAAGCACAGGGAGAATATGCTAACTCCACGCACCCTAGGCGGAGGCATGACTTGAACCTCCAAACTTAGATGTCTGAAGCAAATATGCTAACCACTATCTCCTCACATTTGTGTATACGATATAATCTACTGGGAGCAAAAGCTCTGAAAATTTCAGTGGTACATTAAAAGCATAATTTCTCACTCCATATTCCAACTATGAACCTTTTGTGAATGATTATATTATATACAGACCTGTATCTATAACACATCTTTGGCTTGAATGCTCTGAGGAATGCAGCACACAGGAACTTCAAGGTCTTAATTTTTTTTCCCCCTAAAGGCTCCAGTTTCAAAAGGGAAGAACAGTAAAAGGAAATGGTAGAGAAGGTGGTCGAAGTGGTTTAAAAATAAGTGCCAGTACTTCCTTTGCGACATGATGTTCATCTAGAAGTCGTTTTACATTTTGTAGCCAAAAGACACTAAAGTGTCAATGTTGAAAACAAACTGCATATTGCTTTAATAAAGAAGGTGGAAATGAAAGGACAAAAACCATACAATAATTCAAAGCATTTGAAACTCTCCAAATATGAAAGAATTGTGTGGTCTGTTAGTCCTTTGAGTCTTTGAGTGATTCAATTGTTCATACAGTATTGAGGAGATGTTAATGTTGGATTCTGGCTCTATTCAGGCTGATTAACACCATGGCCTTTCTTTATTTTTTTTTCCACTCATGAGTATAATTGAAACAGAAATCCACTTTTGAATGTGTCTCCAAAGCTCAGTCATTATTATCTATATATTCCATTTGATTCCCTTATAGAAAAATCATATACATAAATATGTGAACACGATTTCATCACATTATGCCCTGAAATGACATGTGAATATACATAAATAATGAAAGTACAGAACTCTAATAAGTACACTTTTCACGAACACTAGCATTTGGGACACAGCTGGAATTATTTCACACAACTTCTCCTAACTTCTTTAACAGTATTATTATGTGTACTGCATTCCATATGTGTGCTCCTCCTCCTCCCTAAACACACACACACACATACATATATGTCACCAAAAGGCTGAGATTAGAGTTCAGAGTCCTGCTGTGTTCGTGCAAGATAATGGACAAAACATGTCCTGAAATTTCTCTCTCTTCTCTCTCTCTCTCTCTCTCTCTCTCTCTCTCCACACACAGACACACACACACTGACGGATGTGTAACTGTATGCCTATGGGTGTGAAACACGATTTAAAGAGCAAAGAGGGAGCATCTTCCGTGTGTGTGTGTGCGTGGCAAGAGAGAAGTGGGTGTCAGTTTCAGAGCTCTTTCCCAGAAGTTGGTTCTGGTGTTCTAGAAATAGTTTAGTAAAAAAAAAAAAAAAAAATCCCCCAAATGTAGCTGTGTCAGTGTGTGTTGTTTGTTTATTTATTTATGAGGCAAAAGCTTTGCTATTATGCTAATGTAGCTAGCAAGTAATGGAAGTCTGTTTCTCTCAAACTCTGTTCTGTAAACACATGCTCAGATATTCATATATGTCCTTCACACTTGTTGTAAAACATCACTGTAGTAAATCAAATTGCAAATCTTTTTTGTGATCAGACATTTTGTTGTTTTTTTCTGAGTAGAGCTACACTCAACTATGCTCAACTAGCTTATTAGCTGTAGTGTGTATTTGTGTGTTTGTGTGTATTAGCCTACTATGTGGCTGTGTTATGAATTCAAATGATTAGCAGTTCATTTTGCACAAGACTATTAATAATAATTCATGAATAAACTCACGCAACCCTGTGTATGATAAGCGGTACACAGGATGGATGGTTAAATGGTTATCTTTATTTTTTAAAGATCTTTATTTTTTATAGCCGTTTGCGAATGTAAAAAGTTTCAAAAATCAAAAGTGCAATGACAAAGGGAGTTATTGACTCCCAAAAGAAAGACCCGATTCTGAACAGCTGAAACGAATCGTCAGTAATTCCAGACTTACTTCCTGTCTTCATTGGCTGCTCGTGAACAATGTGTACTTTGACCCACCCTCAAACACTACAGTTGAGGTTGCGTCCTGAAGGAGTTAGGTTAATGTCTAGAAGACGTTGTTTTCTGCACTGCAAAAGCAAAACCACTTTGCATGGACTCCCAAAGGATGAGGATGTAAAGCGTCAGTGGTTAGAATTCATTTTAAAACGATACCACAGCAGTTCAACTTAGACCTTTGTTTAAACACACGCAACCCTGTGTATGATAAGCGGTAAAAAGGATGGATGGTTAAATGGTTAGTGGAGCTAGTTAGCTCGATCTGTCATTATTTTTAAAGAAGACTTAAGCTTCATAGTTTCAGTGCAAAACACCAAACACACACACACACACACACACACACACACACACACACCACTTTTTATTCACTGGAACAGGCTGTAGCAGGCTCCTTATCACTCAGATTATGAAACAATGTGTTTAACTAATGTTTTGAGAGACTTAACTGTAATTGTGAGGGATTTGTGAACAGTGTGTCCTCTGTTATAACAGGGAAAAGCGAAAAACACACAATCGAGCACATTTCATAACTTACAGATCCATTTATTTATTTATTTTTACATATTGAGTATAAATGTATGAACATTATATTTATATACAAGTCTGGTGGAGTGAAGATACTTTGTTAAACCTTGAACATGCTTTTGATGTGAGAACACACAAGTCATAGGACCACTGTTGCTAAGCAACTGAAAAACATGGACACAGCATTATCTAGCTAATGACTAAAGCTACCATACTGAAAAATAACAAAACAATAGAAACTGTAACAGAAATTCTAATGGATTCAACTGCAAAAACTATTAGCTAACCATTAAAACTATTACCATTTCCTTTATTGGTCCTTAATGGTATCCACTAGATATAATGTGTCACCAATAGAAGGCAACAAATTAGCAGTAGAGACCTACAGGGACCATTACACGATTACAGTTTTCATTAAATCTAATACAATTCCCTTCATATCCATTAAAACCATTACAAATTCTATAAGGGTTTCTTTTGGGGTTTTTCCAGCAGGGTAATATTTTACTGAAGCTGAACAAAGTCTGTGAAATGCTTTGCGGTTTCTCTGTAACATGACAAGATGCATTTTTTTTTTGTCTAACTAACTTCCTGGAGAGAGAAAAAAGAGAGGCTGGTGATGGTATGACTGTTTTATGTCATAGTGTACAGTTTCTATATATAAAGTCTACACACCCCTGTTAAAATCTGTTGGTGTTTTTGTTTTTTTGGATGAAAAAATGAAACCAAGATAAATTATGTCAGAACTTTTCCCGCCTTGAATATGAAATTACAATGTATAAAAAATTAATTGGAAAACAATCAGAAACATTTTAGTTACCTTGTTGCACAAGTATGCTAATCCGTTTATAACTGGTGGGTATGGCTGCAGTCAAAATGAACCAATCACATTCAATCTCATGTTCAAAAGTAATTATTATACAGCTGTCATGAATGTACTTGTTCTGATTAACCCCAAATAAAGACCAGCTGTTTCTGTAGTTTCTCACATCTTGGTTTCATCTGACTGCTGAAGCCATGGTCTGCACAGAGCTGATAAATCCTATACAGGGTCTCACTGTCAAAAGATATCGATTAGGAGAGGGGTACAAAAGATTTCCAAGAATTATATGTACCATGAAACACCATGAAGGTCATCATCAACAAGTGGAGAAAATGAAGCACCACAGTGACATTACTAATAACAGGAAAGTCCCTCCAAAAGTTTCAAAAGGACAAAACAAAAACTTACCAGGGAGGCTGCCAAGAGACCTACAGCAACGTTAAAGGAGCCGCAGGAATATCTGACAAGTACTGATTACTCCTTTTTTCACTCCATAAGAAAGAGTGGGAAAATATTACCAAGAAGTCAAGGTGTGCCGCACTGATAGAATCTTATCCAAAAAGACTGCGTGGAGTATTAAAATCAAAAGGAGCTTCAACTTATGCGTCTAGTTTATTGCAATTTTTTTTTACTTTTCTTTTTTCCCCATTAAAGTTTCTGATTGTTTTTCACTTCGTTTGTATACT